GTTTTACTTTTATTTATTTTCATAATTTTATATATTATAATTTATACGTAATAGTAATTCATTAGAAAGCAGCACCGAAACAACAAAGCCTTAGAAACTGATTACGTAAAGGCTCGGACAAACAAGGCAAGACTCTTAGCACTGATGGCACTACCGCACATCACTATTCTGTCCCTATATCTCGACCCTACATGCTTAACTACATATTTTTAGTATCTTTTGATTGTCTTTTACTTAACCAGGATAACGTAATCCTTCAATATGTGTGTGTGTCCTCCTCCTGTTTGACCGAGCATTAGTGCCTTTTAGGTTCAATCTGTTAAAACTATAATAACATTTTTACAGTATTACTTCATTCCTTGCATTTAATCGTCCAGAGAAAAAAAAAATGTGCGTCCCCAGTAAACATTAATGAAATATATAATTAGTTATTAAATTATATAATATTATCACGCGCATAATTAAAATAAAACGACCAACAATAAAATAGAATATGATGTTAAGTGTTTGTGAGTGTTTCTAATGATAAGTGCTCTATAGCTAATAGAGTAACATTGTTTTTAGTTAATAAGGAAGAAAATGGAAGAGTGGGCGCAACAGTTAAACAAATTCCAAATGTAAGTACGTAAAATTATTAACAAATGTCGTTTTTACAATTTTGATCTCTACTTTTCTGGTTTTTAGATCCAAGTTCGTTCACAGATGAAATGCCAAAACAAAAGCTTAAATATCACGTTACTGAATGCGAGTTCCTCTAGTACATAAACCGTTGTTAGTAAAATATATATTATATACCTACTATTTATACATTAGCGTTTAATTTTATAGTGTAGAAATAGTAAAAATTAAGAAAGTACATGTTTTTTTTTTTAATTTTGTTTGTGCAAATAAACTTTTTAAAAACTAAAAGCTCTTTGATTATCGCTAATAAAAAGCAACCCGATAGTAGATCCTCAAGTTCTCGTCATATTATTTATCAATTTACTGATAAAAATACGATTGAACTGGATCATTATTAATTTATAGGATACAGAGGACGAAGGCACGTATTTGGACGAGTTTCAAGAATGTCTTGACGACTGTCAGGATTTGATTGGTGTTGAGATTTGCCTCGACGAAGACAATTCGTTCACCCACTCGTCGTACGACTCAACAATTGAGGACGTTTGCGAAAGAGATAACGATACTCCTTGTCAAGAGAGCAGACATTTTTTAAATCGAATTAGCTTTAACGAGTGCGCGGATAGTGAATTAAAAATAGCACGGCCAACTGATAAACTCCATCGTGCATTAAAGTGCAATAGTTCAAAAGAATATTGCTTCCTAGGTGATAGTTGTAATTTTAAGGCCGATCAGAAAACTCAAATTTGTTTACTAAGTAACGTAACGGTTCCAAATTCTAAAACGAAAATTGTACAAAACCACCCCAACGTGTTACTGGCCGCATCCGAAATCGCATCGGAAAGCGAACGAATGTCCTCGATATCTCCACAACCGGATGACACCGATAAAGAAGGATATGACACTTGTATCGATGACTCTACATCCGACGACATTATTAACAACAAACAAACGACAAACAATATGCAACAAATCGATCCTTCATCTGTTCCGTCAGTTCGTTCGGATCCAGGAATGCGTCCATGTAAAACATATCTCAACAACCGTAACAATAATAATCAACTGCTACCATTGAACACGAAATTCGAAAACGATTTAAATTCTTACAACGAGGCGCTAAACGCTTTCGGATCGGACGATTTTTTTTTAATGGAATTCATCGACGAAGATAAACCACTCATTAGCAATAATACGTTCAAGTACAAAAGCGAGCCAACCCTAAATCAACTCGGTTGGTTCCGTGAAAACAAAAACAAAAAGCACATAAAAATAAATGAATATTACAACGATTATGCAGATTGTTTGGACGCGTACTTTTTACATTCGAAAAGTAATAATAACGATAAAGTGAAAAACGATAACTTAGTTCGAGAATCAAAAGACGACTCCAACATAAAATCATTGTCAAATTCGAAAGATTCTACCATTAGTATTAGAGAAATAACAAATAGAAATGGTAACTTTTATATCGAAAATGTTTCGGACGATTTCGTCAATAACAAATTAACGATAAAACACAAATTTAAAAGTGCCTCGATTACCCACTGTAGTTGCAATGGAAAATACGAAAAGGAAAAACATCAACGAAGGCATTCGTTACAAACAGTTAATCCAAAACAAATAATCTTCTGCAAGAGATCGTCCATCCTCGCTTACTTAAGTCAACAAATTTTACTATCGAGGTACGTAACAATGCAGGTAAATAGGCTTTAAAAAGCACTAAAACATATGTAAAAAAACTAAAAGGTGTCATTTTCAGTTAGCGATTGATTAATGTAAATTAGAATGCTTATTGAGATCGGTGTATCACTGGCGTAAAGGAGGGTGGCGGTACTTACGATTAGGGGTAGTAGATGCCGACAGTTCCAGACTTTTTAGCATAGGAATTGGGAGGCACTTATACTATATAAATCATAACCGTAGGACAATTATTCACGTTAGATTTGAAGAACTTTTAGTTCAAGATAGAGTTAATAGAAGAGAAAAATCTGGTGCAGCGTTCACATATTTGATAATAACCATCAATTACAACCAGACCCTACTTGTTTCGATCTTTCGAGGTTATTATGGAATTAAAATTACTTCCCATATCCCACTCTCCAGTAAGGTTCAAGAAGTTCGAGTTAGTTTTTGTGGGTATAGGTACTAAACGACTCTAATAGATAGGTTGGTCCTTCTACTGTAAATCAAAGCGCCAAATATCAATTTTATACACACGATGCAGTTCAATATTCTTCGTTTGGCACTCGACTTTAACTCTTTCTTGACCTACTTTATAATTACATTCACAACCAGCGATCTCCCTGAAACTTTACCATTCCTAGTACGGACCCTAGAGACATTTAAAATTGTTTTAATATTTGTGAGTGCTTACAACTGTTAAATCTGTTTGTGGGGCTCTCCTTAATCGCAATTTCAAAATTTCGAATTGTCTTAGAGAGGGACCTTAAATAGAATAATCTAATTCAGTATCTAACTAAGGATGGCACCTTGGGTACGGAAACGTGTATCAGGCTTTCAAACGTTTTCATGTAGAATTTTAAGTTTTAGTGCTTTATTCAGCATACATTGAAAAACCAATTAATTAATTAGATATATCATTGTCACTGTTAATAGATCTTTAAAAAGGCATAATGTATGTAGGTATACGTCTGATAATATACTTATTGTTTGGAAACCTGACTGTGTTGATATTGAATTTAGCATGAAGCTGCTATTTAATAGGATGAACTAGCTGCAACTAATAAGGTTTCTTTCCCGTGTCTGTGTCATTGTTTTAGCAAACAGCTTGCTGAATAATCGTTCAATTATCGATTTAAATGAACAGTGTTTAAAATTAGGTAAGGACCTGTACTTTTAGGTCACCTTATTCGCTTTTTGTTTTTCATTTTTCACCAAAACTCTCATTAATAGAAACACTCATTTGTACGATGTAGCAAGCAGTATGTAGATAGCCCATAAAAAACAAAAATTTATTCAGTCTGATGATGGTTAAATAAATTGAAACGTTACAAAAAACATAGCTGTGTAATTATTTCACCGCCACCCTAGAAATACCTACATAATTTAACAGTAACGGTCAGGAACCTGACTTAAATATTGCTAAACATTATTAAAAAAAAAGCTCCTAATATTTTCAATAATGATACATGTTTAGTTGTACCTATACACACGGAAATTGAAAATCATAAAATTATGCGTGATGGTAGTAAATTTTAATTGAGTGTTGCAATAAAACAGTGCGAAAGAAATGGATCGTCAAACTTTTTTACATTTTTATGTTTCGTCATTAGTTTATACGAATATTATCACACCTACAATCACAATGAGATGTTCCGTCAGTCCTACATAGAACAGGTCTTTTTTTTTCAAGTTAAAAAATCGCCACAGTAAATAGAGTTTACTTCGCGCGGCTTGCAGCACCTACTTCATCGTTTGTTTACCATGTTAATGACGGACACGGTAGTTAAGTAATACAAATTCAGCTAAATTTAGTTTAAAGCTAAACGTCTTCAAGAATGATGATTCTCGCGATGGTGCTCGCTACTTATTAGATTCAATTGCGCTGTGTATTTATGACAATAAAAAAAAGCAAAACATAGCCGCTGTTAAGGATGAATAACTACGGTTTTTGTAAGGTGAGATATTTGCAAAAGTTGTATTTATATACGAACAGAGGTATTTTAATTGATACAATACGAGACCAAACTTGTGCTTATAAACGATTGCCAAATATTTTTAGTTGTAAATGAATTGTTGCAATTTTTTAGGTAATTTTTAGCAGTTGTTGTTTTAATGCGCTTCGGATAACTACCGACCATTAAAAGACTATAAACATTTAACATTTGTAGAATCATGTTATAGAAAGTCATTTCCCGTCATATTAAATACATCAATTACCGATAAAATGCTTTTAATTTTAAACCATTACAATACGATTGACAGTGGAAAAATAACTTTTTAAAACCGAAGCCTAAGAAAGAAAAGTTTATCTAGTTTAATTAGGCTAACGACAGTAATAATTGGAAAAAAAAGGACAATCTTTCGATGAACAATGATTATATTTAAAAAGGAAAAAGAACAAATGTTGTAATATTTTAGGCAGCCTCTGCCAAAAACGGTATCAGGATCAAGAGAAGTAATTAGTGGAGATTTGATGAGGGAAAGATCTGAGGAAATGCTGGAAAAACATTGGGGTCCTACAAGGCATGTAAAAGTCTATAGAGAGAACAACCAAAGTTTGGGAATAAGCATCGTGGGAGGCAAAGTAGGTTTTCAAACAAAAAAAAAAAGATCACTTTCACTACTATTGTTAGAAAAAGCACGCATTTTCTGAACAAAGAACAAAAAGGTTAAAAATAAAATAACTTTTTACGACAGATAAAGGTCTCGATCTCGACAATACTCACTTCGTTCGTGCGGTCGTTTCCTACCGTAATCTTCCGTTAACATTCGGTTACGATAGGGTAGTAAGGGGGTAATTGAAATTTCACTGGGCACTAGGTTCATTGGACTGTAGGATAACGATAGGAAATGATAACATAAATGAAGTGAAAACCCCCTATATACAAAATTCCAAGCCAATGCGTGTAATCTGTTTTCGAAAGTACAGCCAAAGTACCTAACTTTTGTTTATTAGTATTTTTTGAATTCACGCTAAACAAGTGAATACAAGTTTCACTATTTTCGCGGTGTTTCTAAAAATAGAGGAGAAAATAGATGTAAAAACGTTTCGATAAATAGAAACGACCTTCATCAAAAATATTTGATACACACACAAACCCCGATGCAATATAGGTTTAGATTTATTCATGTTATCGTTAAGTGGAAGTTAACGATTTTCGGAATACGAAATTGCATCTACTTAAACTTGATATGACGTCGGACACTTCAAATGATATTTATAAGCGAACGAAACGTATCTAATAATTACATTGCCTTCTGCTGTTAAAGTTTGTCCTTATTAGAAAATGCGTGTGACATAGCGGACTTGATTTTTTTTTAACAAAAATTCGGGATTCAAACTAAAGTAGCTAACGAAAATGACACAACTACCTTCAGGTAGATCTGAATGCCTCCCAAGAATCCGGCAATTCGGTAATGGGCATTTTTATAAAAAATGTGGTACCAAACAGTCCAGCTGGGAGAACAGGTGAATTTAAGGTAACAAAAAAAATAATTGTATTCAACGTAATACCGCGTCAATTACTTTTTGATTTTTTTTTTAAGACTGGCGACAGGATATTAGATGTGAGCGGAATAGACTTGAGAAGAGCCAGTCACGAAAAGGCTATAGAAGCGATAAAAAACGCTCCCAATCCCCTAACATTTGTTCTTCAATCTTTGGTACCTTTGGTACAGATAAAATTAAACAAAAATCTGCTGACAATTATTGTTGTTAACTTTTTTAGAGGGCGAATCGGACCGAAAATACATTCTTAGATAAAAATAACAGTAGTCGTGAAGAACAACACAATCACATAGTAAGTCAATCAAAAAACAAAACCGTAAAAACTAATTTAGGTAAACATAACACATAATTCCTTGCAGGAATCCGAAAAACAAGAAGCGAAGCCTAAGAAGTCGGTAAAATATAAAGATCGAATAAATGAAGAAAAAAACGCGATTAGCCGCGAATCAGTTCGACGAGGAGCAGGTGGGTCATTTAAAAACAGGGTAACAGAATTAAAATCTTCAATGAAGAAAAGAGACCATGAAGAAACGAACAACAATGTCGCAGAAGAAACGTCCGAAGTCGCTACTACAAATACTAATAAACTTGAATCACCTAGCGATAGTGACGATGAAGAAGACGTACGTGAATTAGAAGGTCGTACTGTTAGTGCAAAAGGACAGGAGGTTCGTTATTTTCACATTTACTTTTAAAAAATGAACAATTTAACAAAATAAAGGACTAGATTTTTGTTTTCGGCGAGGCTTCATAAAAATTTGAATTTAATTTCAAAATGAGCAATTTTTCGTAGTAAATATACACGGAGTTCATAATTTATGAATAGAAAAATAATGGTAATAACAGATTAGTGAAAATCATCAAGTTACCATCCTGTTTATAGAATATTTAAAATTTTGGTTTTGGGTAGACAGATAAAGTATCTTAACCGCCCCCTCCCCCCCTTATGACTTACAATTTATATAGTATTTCATTAAAAAAGATCGACAGGGCAAGCGCAGCCAACATAAAAAGGACCAAAGAAGAAATAGCTGCTGATACCGAAGAAGAGGATGACTTTGGATACACAACAAGNCATCCTCACTTATCTGACTTCCTAGGTATCTAAAATCAGCCACTTCTTCTAATTTTTCGTCTCCTATCTTTATATCCGCTCTTTCCCTACTTTTTCTTCCCTTGCATACCAGTATTTTAGTTTTACTTTTATTTATTTTCATACAGTACTGATCTGTCAGTACCGCTTCCATTTTATTTAAAGCTAAAATTTTTAAGTAAAATACAAATATCTTTGAAACAGTACGTATGTACATAGGTACCTTCTTATTTTTATAACGAGTGAATTTTACACGAAACGTTAGCACAAAATAAAACCGACGCAAAATATAAAACTGAAAAATGAACAGTACATAGGTACTAAATGTTTTAAATAAATATTATTGTATTTATTTGTAGAAGAGATATCGGGAATTTTTGTCAAAAGTATTACCAAGGACAGTGCAGCAGATTTATGCAAAAGAATAAAAATCAACGACAGAATAGTGAAGGTAAATGTCTGCACATTGATAAAAAATTTCGACAAAAAATATTTCTTGGGTCCTACACTTTTTGCTGAATGTGATCAAAACAATAATTTCAAATTAAAACATAACAGTACTCTGTTTGTTCAATGAAAAGTTAAGCTATCTTATTTTAAGAAACAAATATTTTGATATAAATATGAAACTCTGGAAGGAACTTGGCTCAATAATTTCAAGTTCGTCACTATAACTTCAAGACAATATTTTTTATCAGTGTTGATAATAATAGCATCATTTATCAAGTTATTAATCTGGTTAGCTATAACTGACTTGACTTTAGGTGGACGACGTGTCACTGATAGGGCTTTCGAATCAAAGAGCTATAAACTTGCTTAAAGTAACCGGCCAAGTGACAACGCTAAGTTTCGAGAGATTTTTACGGGGGCCCAAATATGAACAATTGCAAGAAATTATCAGAGCCAGTGAGTTTTGCACCCCATCTTCGATATCAACTTTACCCTCGTCCAAAAACAACAACAAAACTGTAAGAATTGGACCAATATTACATACTTCCTTTTGTATTGAATGACACATGCGTTCGCAGGAGTTGCCTCCAAGAAGACTTGGAAATCTTCGCCACTGCTCTAGTAATTTAGTTAAAGCGAAATCGGAATCGTCATTGACGTTAATGATCTCTCAAGATCAATGCTCTATTAATAATAATAATCCCCGCTTCAGATCATTAGAGTTGTTACTTGGGGTACCAATGTGGAGAGAGAATGGAGTAGTTATTGAACTAAAAAAGGGACAACACGGCTTGGGATTTTCCGTCCTAGATTATCAGGTTAATACACTCTATTTAATAAAAATATAATCTAAACACTAGTCACTTGTTTGATATTAGAAGCTTGATTAATGAAAATTTTAGACCAGGAGACCACTTTTCGTGGGTAACTCGTATCTACTGTATTATGTAAAAATTAATAAATAATTTGTACTGGCAAAATTTGCTCTTTAGGAGAACAATAACTTAAACGTTCTCAATACACTAATTAATCGAAGAATAACTTTCTCTTAAAGGATCCCCTTAACCCGCATCAATCTGTAATTGTGATAAGGTCTTTGGTTCCCGGAGGAGTGGCTCAAGCTGACGGCAGATTAAAACCTGGAGACAGGTTGCTGTCAGTAAATGACGTGAACTTAAAAAATGCCAGCTTAGAAAGGGCCGTTCAAGTTCTTAAAAGTGCGCCAACAGGACCAGTCAATATTACCGTTGCCAAACCGATTCCGTCCACCGACACATCCTTTTCAAGTCAAGTAAGTTTTTACTTGAAATAAATTGTCGTACTAATTATATGTATATTACACAATAGTATTATAATCTATCATCATCACAAGGTCGTCAGTTGTAAGACTGCATGGACACGCACCTCCACTCTTTCCTATCCTGAGCTAATCTTCGCATTTCCTTAAAACTAGAACAAACCACATCCTTAACTATTTGCGAACAGTAATCTAATCTCTACCCCTCCTAACTCCCGTTTCTGCCTCTAATATGTCTCTGACTAGACCTTCATGCCTGAAAAGTTCTCCTAGCAAACTATCTCGCCTATTTCTTATTGACTTCCCTAGAGTCC